CGAAAGGACCTAAATACATATATTTTGCAATGGTAATTAAACTTTATGTTTAAGTATTAAGGTTTAGAATAAACTGAAGTCGTTAACATTATTAAACTTTTTTCTAAGAAATGAAGATGTTTTCGTGTCTGCAAACGTGGCCACTGGAGCGTCTTATTTTTGTTCCTGATCTTTAATCTAGTACTATTATTGATCGAAGTAACTCAATCCTTAAATTACTCTCATCACCGTATGGAAGAACTTATGGCCAAAATTGAGGCCAACGATACCCGTATGAAGTACCTAGAGAAACGGGATCTTGAGTTCACGAATCTTAAATCGGCGGTATCTCAAATACAAAGTGATATAAACAAACAGGCTCAAAATATTCTGTTAAATGAAATTGAGTTGATTGGAATCCCGGAGTCTCCAGCAGAGAATTTGCAACATACTTTTCAGCTTGCAACTAAGAAGCTGGGTGTCGAACTGGATGAGAAAGATGTAGACTGGATCACTAGGGTGGGGCCTCGCCGTTCTGCAGTTCCTCCTAGCTTAACTGAACTTCAAAATAGGATGCCGCGACCAATTGTTGTTCGTTTGCTGCGTAGATCTAAGCGTGACGAAATACTAAAAGCATCTAAATCACGTAGGAATATAAAAAGTAATGACTTGGATGCCCCTGGAACACCACAAAATATATATTTCAATGAGAGGCTTACTAAAGAAAATAGAATCTTATTTCGAGATGCTAGAAATAGAGCGAAGAAAGAAGGGTACGCTTATTGTTGGTGTAACCGTGGCGCTATATATGTCAGGCGGCGTGAGGGGAATGCAGCAGTGCAACTGCGAAGCCAAAGTGATCTGGATCGGTTATTTGCTAACACGAAAACTACTGTCTGATGTAACAATATCGAGGTATAACAGTCTGTGTGATAATCCAGTGGTGCAAACTAAGGAGCATATTCTTTTTAACAACCTTCCCTATTTCTTCTCGTTATGTATAAACAGTATAATTAGTGTGTGTATAGCTCATTTCACTGATTGTCTTGCTGGAGCTTTAGTGTTTAATTTGGATTACGTATGTTTACTATATATTTGTACTTTGTATAACTTGAAAAAATTGTATATAGATCACAGTTCTTTATGGTCTTTGCTTGTGGGATTTGTTTTACTTCCAGTGATTTTACTTATATTTGAGAATAATATTTTCCGTACATATGATCATTTAAATGATTCCGATGTAAATGTAAAATTAATGCTATTAATGGCGCTGCATTGTATGCTAATGGTGAACATTTCTTTGCGTATTTGGAATGTTTTTTATTACACATGGATATAAATGATGACATTGATGGAGACTTGGATTCGATCCAAATCGATTGTCAGGTCATAGATGAACCGGAGCATTGTAAAAGTCTATTTTTGAAAAATCGTAACTTTAGGGTGTTAACTTTTAATATTAGAAGCATTAGGAGAAACTTTGATCAATTTCTTGTACATTTGTCTAGACTAAATATCCATTACGATATTATAATACTTACGGAGTGTTGGTTAAATGAAACTACAATTGTTCCACAGTTGCCGGGATATAATGCTTACCATACCACTAAATGCAGTAATCAAAATGGTGGCGTAGTCATTTATGTCAAATGTTCATGGAATGTTACTGTGTCGGAACCTCTAATCGAGGAAGCAGATTGCTTACAGATTCAACTATCTGAGTCCATAGTAGTTCTAGGCATCTATCGTTCACCCTCTTATAGAAACTTGGATAATTTTCTTACCACATTAGATAATTGCGTACAAGGCTTAGGTAACCAACTTATAATCATAGCTGGAGACCTTAATATCAATATACTAGATACCTTACCGAATGCGCAGTCTCTTGAATACGTATCCTTCATGGCAGAAAATGGGTTTCTATCAGCTATAACTAAGCCCACTCGAGAGTCTGCATGCCTTGACCACATATTGTGAAAGACATAAATCATACTTGTATTACTGGTGTTGTGTGTAAAAGTTCGATTACTGACCATTACATGGCAATGATTGGAATAAACCTAGGCAGGGATAAAGTGAAAAAACCTGATCGATTTATACTAAAAAGAAATATCGTAGCTATTAAGGAAGAGCTGAAATCTGTAGATTGGTCAGAGTTGTGTTCCTTTAAAGATATTAACAAAGCAAATGATGTATTCACCAAGGTTTTATCGGATATTCTCGAAAAGCATTCACGCACTCTAAAAGTGTCTCGTTCTAAATATAATTTGAAACCCTGGATTTCTCCAGGAATTATGCGGTGCATGCGCCATCGTGACAAACTTCATATGCAAGCTCGAAATAATCCAAATAATGAAAATCTACAGCTTATTTTTACCCGATATCGAAAATTTTTCATATCTTTGTTGCGTAAGCTAAAGGCAGAGTATGAAACAGCCGAGTTGGAAAAATCTAAAAAGAATCCGAAAAAACTTTGGACAACTATTAAAACAATATGCAATATGAAGACAACTAAAACTGAAAACACGGAACTATTGTCATTGGAAGGCAGTCATGATATATCGGAATCCATTGAAATGTGTAATACCCACTTCTCAACCGTTGGACAAACACTGGCAGATAAAATACTACAGGATTTGTCAAAGTCTGAATGCGAATTGGCGAGTGCTGTAAAAATCTCCCGTACGGCAGCTGACTCCTTTTTCATGCACCCTACAGATCACAGAGAAGTCGAAGCTCTCATTAAAAATCTTTCTAATGATAAAGCACCAGGTATCGATGCAATAAATAACTCTTTAATCAAAAATATTAAAGACGAACTGCTTGAGCCCTTAACTATAATTTTCAACGGCGGT